GGTTGCCTCGTGAAAGCTTGGTAGGAGTTCAAACCCACGCTCTAACACACCAGCGAAACTCGAGTCTACTGCCTTGTTTCAAAAGGGACTGGCCTAAAAATCTGTTTTGGAAGCTAAGTAAACCAACTCTTGTACTATTCTTGTCTTGCTATGAGAAAGCAAAAAGCTTTTATGGATAACCGTATGCCATCACCGTGTTCTGGACAAGGGTTTCATCATATTTCAGCCAGTAATGGTTATTGATGCATTCGGCAACGCTGAGTGTTAATATGTACTAATCCATGTTTTGATCAGCCAGTACGTAACCTGAACACACCAGATTTCGGTTTAATCCGTTTACAGAAAAACATCTAAAGAACTGTTACGTTATACGCGCATTGTACATGTTCTCCTCAGTCGTAAGCCGATTGCTAGCGCGAAAACAAAATTAGCATTTCCTAAATGGAAAACGGACCAGTCAGCATGGGATTTAAAAATGCCTCACAGTTATACCCATAGTAAGTAATGAATGGACTTGTTTTCATCTCTTATAGGCTGCTAACGGACTAATTATAAGGTTGTCTTGTTTTGGATTACCTCAGTTATTCCCATGCCTTTCCGTAGCTGTTTGTTCTTTGCTCCAAACATACGTTTTTTTATTGTAGTGGACTTATTGTCACTTACGTTATGGCTTGCAGTGAGTCACTCTAAATGACTGAGTACTAAACACATTCTAGTGGTCAGACGGGCATGGAGCGTATTACAAATACGGAGGTAAATGCCACATAACCCGAGTACAAACAAGAGTTGAGTTTGTTCTGGATTGTAAACTTGCCAGTGAACAGCGTAAAACGCAAAGAATTGCACTGTATGAATGAGAAGATTAGCACTGTTGAATTCTTTCCCCTTGGTGTACTCTGTGAGCTGTTCAGTGACAATTTAAACCGAGTGACCGATTGACAGGTTAACTCATCTTCACAGATCCCAATTTAATTCGGTGACTCACCATTTGTGACACTGAACCGAAGTGTTACACAGTACTTCATATTTCTCTTTTGGAAGTTCCAATCCACCATGAGGAATGTAAGCTCGACCGTTTTGTGGAAGAAGTCTTCCAGGAATCATCTCATCGTTGTGTTTTGCACGACACACGTAAACACCATTTCCAGCTTCGACTGCTCGTTCTGGCAAACAGCCATCTTTAGCAGGAATCCAAGACAATGTCATCTGATAACCGCCACTGAATTTAGCCATTCTGGTTCAATCTATCAAGAAAGAATCAAATATGTTCTCACACAATCACTACTGTTGATACAATAAACATTCAGTCAAAGTTTGTGCTAATCATATTACCAAATGCATTACATCAACAAACTCAACAAAGTTGGTTATAAAAAAAGACGGTAACCATAATTGTAATACTCCATCGAAAATGAAGTACACCTCCTGCTTGAAGCATTGTTCGCTATTGATGTTTGATGTATATGTTATTATCACTTTAGAAGAATGTGATTTTCAGAACCACTAAAAAAGATCGACATCACTTAGATTCGGTGTGGGTTTCGGTGAAGAGCCGCATTTGTGACTTCAAATAACCGTTGACAATAACTACGTAGCACAGTGTGACACAAGTGTTCAGTGTTTTCAGTTTATGACAAAATTGTTCCTCCACGAGAATTCGAAATCGATGTACGACATCACAAGTAGTTTTAAAATATGAATGATCTAAGGTGATGTGAACCGAACAAAAATGAACGGTTATCGATCGGGAGTTACAGTAGTTTTACAAGTGTCCGCTAACTTCTCTATATCACTCGCCTGTGATTTCTGAATAACTGTGTGTGGTAAAAACTTATTTCATTCACCGGTTACCCAAACACCAACACTGTAGACAGTTTAGCAACAGACCAACCGAACTTCATTTTGTGACACAATAGTTTCAGTGTCATCCGTGTTGGACCAGCCAGTTTGTGACGTTACATGTCGCAATGCTATCAACCAATGACAAACTCCGATTTCTTTAATACAGAGGTACATCTATGAATCCGTGATTTTGTCTCATTAATAAGGATTGCTTATTAAAACCAGTCTCAGTTCTTCCCCTTAAAACCCACGTGGGAGATGTGAATTCACTTACGATTCCTAGATCTATCGGAAGTCCCCAGCTCCGAGCACTAAGCTGTATTTCTTGGATTGATCAAATTTCGCACAAGTCTGTATGCCTCTCAGGGTTCACTCTGACCAGACTGCTTGCCTTCAACACCGTAAAAGTTAAACATCCACATGAACAATAAAGTTAATATGAATTTCCATTCACGTGTGTTAGAACCCACTTGGTTCACCGTCGGTAAGGATTAACTCATCGCAACATGTTCTTTTGTTCGTCGGCTCCCAGACCTTCGAAAACTTTAATCTTAACACGCGAAACTGTCTGCAGTTCCTTATTCCTAGGACAAATTTAGTCAAGATGATCCCCAAGCGGCTCTATTGAGTCAAAACCAGGCGATCGAGCTGGTCAGGGTTAGCGACCGGTATTGTGCGACGAACTGAAAGTTTACGAATGGCTACACCGATAGGCCAAAATGTTATCATCTTTGAATTTTCGATCGCACTGACCTGGCAATATAAGGAGTGAATTTGCTCAAAGCTTGGACTACCGACGAAGTATGCAAGAGAGACAAACTCATCCTTTCCAGTAGGAACCTGTAGCTGTCGTCTAGACCTCTTACGCGGCACATCACGTGTCAAGCCGTCTAGACTAAGTGATGTTCACTATCCCAACCAGCCCGAAAACTCTCTTCCACATGCGAACGCACGCACGCGTACAGTTATCATCTGCACACTCAACCAGTTGGAACGCTGCGGCTGAATGTGCTTCGGTGCGCCCGACACACAGGCACGCACGACGCGGTTGGACCCAGATCGGAAATGAGAACAACACCATTGCACAGTACAGGATGGTCTTGACGAACGTCACCACATTAAACTCGTACACCAAATCCCAACAATAAATATCTAAAACACCGATTCAGCCTTTTCATTGACTGGTTTCGTGATGTCGTTATTCGTTATTCGTTAGTGAGTACTCAGGCTATCATGGTCAAGACGTCCACCACAAACCCGTGCACAGATTGAGGTACCGTCCCTCCGTAGTGTGGAAGTAGTGATGTCGTCATAGGATCACACAGCCTTGAGCTTTTTTCATGTGAACTATTTCAGCTAATCTCCTCAGACAAAATGTTAACCAACCAAGCAAAATAACAAACCGAACACAACCAGCACTTGAGCACATCTTCCCGATTCTGATAACTCTTTTAACTAGTCCCATTCGAACTAAAGCATCAGGTTCGAGCTTCGCTCTTATTACAGATCATCACAGGTTGTCCTTCTGATTTCGACTGGAAGTTCCAACTCTGCCGTCATGAAGGTGATTGTCCAGGGGGTCAATCACAACACCACTAACGTCGTATATGTGCGCCGCACACAGCTTTGTGTGAATAATGCCCAGAATGCGAAACTTGTGAGTGGCGTTCATTTTCTAACAATCTGAACTCCAAAATGTTAGGTAACATTCTATGTACGTTCATATTTTCCATAAGGACATAAGGTATGCTTTTATCTGACTTCTTAGTCTGATTCAGGAGACGCGCATACACTGTTTTCACGGTTGTTGCTTCACTCCTGTTGAAGTTAGTTCAGTTCCATCGATAAATTTTCAAAGACCGGGTAGTAAAATTTTGTGACAATTTGATATACCTCTTGCACCTTTACAGGTTACTCGGACAAAAAAGAACCAAGTGTATGTTATCAACTTGTTCTCTACTTATACGAAAATTACATGCCTAAGAATATCCAAATCTGACTGGACTGTAATTCGATAAATATGTAAAGTATAATATGTATGTAGAATATTTCGCTCACTCTTGGTTTTGTATGACTTGAAGTAATCACGATCTGTGTGGATCAGTTGATAAATGCTTATTTTTCAAAAGTCACCTGTTCCCATTAGCTACATCACGCTGATTAGTACATGAACTGACCACGTGTTGTTCTCGTATGTCCCTTTTCGGGTTAACTGTCGTTTACTGAACTGGTGATTGCAATCGATCAATTGACCGATCGTTTGCTTACTTTGTTTGCACATCGATCAGTAGGTGGCTCGAATTCGATTGTCCTGTCATGTAACTAACATCAGTTCATAGGAATGTGAACAATGAAACGGGGTAGAGAGGATGGTGCTGATACTTGATAACTGCTTTGTTGAGGTCATCAAACGAAAAATCGTAAATGTAGCATAATGCTGTCGGACTAATGATCCTAAACTAATCAAACAGGTTCCAATAGAGTGAGCTGACTGGAATAACAGTAGTCAGCTCATATCACCTTACAGTGGAACGATGATTGATCATAACACTCACTGTCCTCCTTGGTGGGTTCTGCGGTCATAGGTGAGAAGTTAAGCGACTGATCGACTGCCTTTCAGCAATGCGGTGGAAGCAACAGCTGGTATCAAGCGAGGGTAATTGTGATTCATCAGGACGATAAGAAAACATATAATGTAAGGTGAAACTGATTCGTTTATTCTAAACTGTCGATTACATACATTATACGAATTATCGATCAGAGCAGTGGGGAATAATCCAGAGGGCGGAAAGTATAAAAAGCAATTCCACCGAATGCTAAGTACATTGGCGTGCTGAAACGTGGACTGAAAAAGCGTCATTTACCTCCCAATGTTGCACCGATTCTATCGATTTTCTGGCACTTATTGAAATGGTCGTTTGAAACGTCAGGCCATAAGCTAAAACGAGTTTTTCCGTTCAAGAAAAATTGTAAGCTTAATATAATTGGTAGGACGGTGAGCAAAACATTGACGCTTAGCTACCCATCATGATGACAAGTAGGGTCATACACCAAATTCTATTAGTCAAACTATGTACTCTGTTACCGAATTAATTTTGTTCCGGTTAAATCGCTGAACAGTATTTGTCATTTAGAAGAGACCCAATTGCGAAAAATATGGACTTCGGCTGGATTCGAACCAGCGACAGAAATAACATGCCCTAACGCGGCAAATGTTCTCCCAGTTGAGTTACGAAGCCACCAAATATGGACTTCTGCTTGGGTAGACCATTTACCGCGCTTGAGCCTGTTGTTTCTGTAACTGGTTCGAATCCAGTCGAAGTCCAGATATTTGCAGTTGGATCTCTTAAATTATCAAGTCTGCCAAACTACTCAACCGTAATATATGTCGTGTCACCTAATTATCAAACGTGAAGGGATCTAAGTAAGAAAACCTTGACCACAGATGACTTCGAATTTGTAGCACAACTGCATGTGTGGGACCCACCAACTAGGCTACAGACTCAGTGGACGTTCAAGATTTTGCCATACATAGAACTGATCATATGGTACACTACCTATCAGTTTTAACAATCCCAAATATCTTTCACCAGATGTCGGATATTTTTGGGACTTCGACTTAATGAAAATGTATTCCCAGCGTTTCAGAAATGCTCATTATGATGGTGAGGATAAATTGCATATAGATATATGTTTCGATAGTTCTTCTTCAGGCTGGTACAATTATATAAGGAGTTAACAGGGTTAGATCGAGATGTCGATCGGACTTATTATGAAGATCCCAGGTCACTGGTCAGCCAACTGGCAATCGTTTGACTGGTCTATCACGTCGCGCCCGTCCGTTGGTTTGACCACGCAGGTTGGCTATCGATCCGGTGGACCTGTGGTCATGGTAGGTGTAGTGCCTGAACAAACCGTTTTTGATGACATACTACCGGGTCAAGCAACCTGATTTCAATAGCCTCGACAGTACAAAGTGTTCTAATTCGGATCGCTTTTGATGAATCGCTTGGCACGCGATATATCACGTTGAAGACTTGACCAGTTTTCATCTGGTCAGCTTTCGACCAGATGAGCGAGGATGGCACTGTTGACCGATCGTGATTCCCCGTGCCCCTACCCCCGTGGATGGTGTTCTCGGACTTGTTTCGAAAGCTGTCTTGATGTTCGATCAATATAAGCTGCTCCACAGGAACAAGTGAGTGGGGAGATACACATAGACAAGATCTGAATTATCAGTCTATCTTCGTTGTAAAACATGAGAACTGAGGATGTGGTGAATTGAACACGGAGTTCAGCAGCGACATACGTCGCGATAATTGTCTGATTGAGCCTACTTGTCAACCATTCTGGGGCATTGTCACCTTTGAAGGATACTCGAATAAACAAAGGCCTATTTCTTATATCATGCATTTCAGGTTTATGTGATATTCTGATCATATTTCTGGTGATAAGTCTTTCCTGGTAGCCATTGTCACTGAGTACGTTCTCTATGAATTCGGATTCACTGCCTGGCGTATCTACTGAACAAATTTTGTATGATCTATCAGTCGGGCAACGCACTAGATTTCTCTTCTGTTTTGAGGGCACAAAATTGTGAAAGTTTGTGTACTGACTTGTTCGTGTATTCTTGCGGTGAATCCTACGTCCAATAGTTCCGTCGATTCGTCAATGTAAACAAACATCTAGGAATTATATCTCGTTTCCAGTCTCCTCCTCAAGTGGAAACCTAACTGACTGGCGGGCGTGATTGAGCTTGTCGAATAATCTGCACATATTGGTATTCGAGCTGGTGATGATAAATACATCGTCTGCGTATTGATGATAATGACTAAACTGGCTAATGGTAGACTGAAGCATGGTGTGTTCAGGTTTTCTCATGAATATATCGGCCAGGAGAATCCGAGCGGGGATATGCACTGCTACACCTATGTCTGTCGATATAGCACACCGTTGAATTGCAATTATACATCAGATATGTATCGGAGCAGAAGGTCTTTCAATTTCGGTATTGGTAACCCAAAATTGAGTCCGGTCTCAGACACGTAGTCACATATGGTACTGACGGTTTTCGGCAGCTGTACGTTTGTGAATAAAGACACTACGTCCACTAAGCATGGTTTCTGGGAATTCATATTACCGTCCTGTATGCACTCGATAAATTCAAGCGTATGGCGTAGACAGAGTGGGGTAACCGTTTTTCGGACGGGTTCAAACAGTTTAACTAACCACTTCGCCGTTGAGAGGTAAAGCGAATTCATTATATCAAGTGTTGGACGAACCGCTACGCCAGGTTTGTGGACCTTCGATGGTCCATACAGACGGGGTATAGTAAAAACCTGTCGTCGTAGTTTTTCGTAAACCACGGCGGTTATCAACTTTTCGTCTTTTAATGACTTAAGACAATTTGTGATCTGATGTTCACCACACTCAGTTTTACCCCTTTTGTTACCAACTCAACAAAACTTACTCTGGTCTGCGAGAACATTACTCAGTTTTTCAATGTAATCGTTTCTGTTCATGGTGACAATGGCAGCTCTTTTATCTGGTCTACTCAGGAGAATACCTGGATTCTGTTGAAGTTTCTTCAATGAATCCGTGTGCTCGTTACTCAGAGGTATTCTTCGTTTCAATGTACTCTCACAGTATAGCTGGTAGCAGTTAACAAGTGTAGTTTTAAATAACTCAAGGTCATCCAACGAACGCGGGGTTACATCTTGCACCTGACCGAAAAGGTTCTCAAATTCCACCTCCAGTTCTAGACGTTCTTTCTTACGTGGTGGGCAGCAAAACTTAGAGCCGAGTAAGAGTGCCTCGATTGTGATACGATCAAGATGTAAATTGGAAAAGTTGTGCACATACCTTTCCGGTTGACTTCGAAATTCTGCTTGCAGCCTGGAAAGAAGGAGACTGTGCGATAGTGAACCTCGTTTCTTCTTCCACCGCCTGCAACGATGAATTTAGTTTATGATTATATTCATCAAACTGGACAGAAGATGCAAGGTTCTTCCCGCTTGAAGAAGTTTCCAGCAGATAGACGGCGTAGCCAGTGGGTGCTCAGTTGACTCTGATTTAGTTACCGTGTTCATGGGTAAAATTGATCGAACTAACTTTCTAGTCATGGTGCGTCAGGGTTGTACAAATGGTAGGTCGATGGTGTGTTGTTTGCAGGAGATGATGAAGAAATTTCAAAGGTAACCCAAGCTTTCAACTCAAGTCTGTCAGTAAATTTCAAGTACAAACAAGGAAACAAGTTGCCATTTTTGGACATCGTATTTAAACGCCACTCAGAGGGATCTATTGAACTTTCAGTGTACCACAAGTCAACACGGAGAAATAGGTCAACATTACAAATTTTGCTCTGGTAACACACAATAACTTGCTGGTCTGTACTCTGTTTCACAGGGCGTTCAGAAACTGTCATGATGTTGGGTTACAGGATGAGCATAGGGATGTTGTCCAAAAGTCCTTTGGACAAGCACTTTTCGGAAACTCTTGCTCCGGAGATACAGTAACTTTAGGCCTTCGAAAAGTTCAATCATGGAATTTTCTGAAAACCATTAATGTCAAGCTTCTTTCGATTGTGACATTTTGGCTAACAAGTTCGACACTTCTACATTGTAAGTAATTGGGCGGTCACTATTTCCTTTAAGAAGCGAAATTCTGTGTTCGCTAGCAGCATCCTCTCCGGTTTCCGAAACATCCACATCTGTAGAACAGAGACAGCGCTTGAAGCTGCGGACAAGAAGCATACATCAAAGGTTGCTAAGATATTTATCAGGACATCCATTAGCGAGTAATACCACAGAGGACAAGACCTCGAATCATTCATCACAAGGAATGTATTGACCACAGATCACAATCATTTATGGTTTTCCATCATACACGAATCCCCATGGACATGAAAATCTTGCAGATAAGTCGTTGGCAAACGTCTCAAGAGCAACGGACTATCAGTTTTTGTTTGTCATGAGTTTGACTGTCAGCATAGTTCACGAATCGCATCTGTTTGTGGTTTAGGTCACTTCGTTTGGTATAAACTGAAAAGCACTTACAGTTGGTCGCAGCTGTCACATTCCATAAACTTTTCGGTCAGCCCCTTTTGAAAAGAGCCACTAGACTCCAGTTCCACTCTCGTTAGAGCTCGTCAGCAATACATATCTTCGCCATACTAGTCCGATGTTAACAACTAACGAAGTGTTATTTGTGTATTCTGACTATTCTCTACCTTTGCCTGTAAAAACGTTTCACTTCGATTTTCGGTCGATACACAGTTTGTAGTCAAACATCTGTTTCGTTTTCAGCTAATAGAAACAGCCGGTCATACATTAAACTTATGACATTGTGGTAATCCACTTCTTGAGTTCCAGGTGAAGTTATGGCTTCTTTTTTTTTGTCATTTACTGCCTCATGTGGCGCAAATTCAAAAAGAATGAACCGATTCCAGCTCACGCAGCGATACAAACTGAACTCATTGTACAGCACACAATCGAGCGTGGGTTGGTCTGAACGAATTCTGTTCGTCAACTAGCAGTAATTAGCTTGTAAACTAAGCCTAGTATCGAGCTGAACAAAATCAATCCACCCACGAAGGTCAACACGGTCACCATGATTACACGCCAACGCCATGCGTAGTGATAAATATAACTAACACGTCATCATGGACGCTCACGAACGTGTAGAAGCAGAGGTAGGTGCGCAGTTTTCACACGTGTGTTCTGTTTAGTGGTCGTTTAATTTCATTTGAAACTACCGACAGTTATTTCGATTAGTAGGATGTTAGTCAGAGGCAGTAAAAAATTGGGATGGTTGACATCATCATCCTTGTATTGATTAAAGTGAATAGGGACATCTTCAGGTAACCCACTTGTAGTGCATTATTACCCTTGTGACTGTTTAACATCCTGAGTGGTTCAGAATGCAGTTATTCAGACTCTCGCAAGTTAGAAACAATGTCACTAAAATGCTCTTCCTATTTTCCATCTGAAGTAAACCGAAAAGCCATTTCTTGTCCAAGATTGCTTGACGAATAGAGGATAATTCTGATCAAAAGCCACACGAAAATCATTTTACCCCGCATATTGTCGAGTAGCTAGTGAGAAGAGCAACACAGTGACCGACGTCCCATTAAAATTAGGTCAGACCGTTCGGACCCATCAGCACCTAGTTACACTGCCGAACAGAAAATGGGTGGCAGTGCTTGGTTGGCGCGGATCGGTCATGACATGCGTTTGACTGT